CAGGCCTTGGTGACTGAATGCTTGGGGATTAATGAGAGAAGGGTCTGGGACCCCTAGATCTGTGATAGGAGCCGCTGAGCAGGTGGCATACCATTTATTGAAACTGGGGACACTGGAGAAGAAACTTGATGAATTCACATTTGTTCTTTTTTCTTGATCCTCACACAAGGATATTTTTCCATTGATTTTTTTTTTTTTTTTTATAGGGGAGAGGGCGAACGCATTCCCCCACTACCACAAATTATGCAGTCGAGTTTCCCATATTTGGGGAAATCGCAGGGGTCAGCACATCCAGAGTGCAATGGATAAGCCTCACCCTGGGAAAACCACCTTCGTGATCATGTATCTCCCCTGCCAGGTAAGTATTCCATTGATTTTTTAGAGAGAGTGGAAGGGAGGGAGGAGGGGGGGAGAGAGAGAAACATAGATGTGAGAGAGACACCTCGATTGGTTGCCTCCGGTACACACTCCGACCAGGGCCAGGGATCAAGCCTGAACCCAAGGTACATGCTCTTGACTAGGAATGGAACGGAGACCCTTCTGTCCAGGGGCCAATGCTCTAACCACTGAGCCAAACCCGCTAGGGTTCATTTTCAGTTCACATTGGGACATCTAAGTATGGATGTCAGGTAGGCAGGTGTTAAATTAAAAGGAAGAGTTTGGACTAGAGATATAAACTTGAGAGTATTGGCATAGAGTAACTGAAGAGAGTAAGTGTAGAAGAGAAAAAGGATTTAAGGGGAAAAAGAAACTGAAAAGTTAGAATGTTTTATGCTGTCAGAAGAGGAGGAAGAAGGAAAATGATGAGTGTACAGTATCATAGAAGCCAAGGGGAAAGAGGGAGAGAATGTCCTATTGGTGCTGATCCCAGTGGGCCATCTTCTATGTAACAGTTTTATTTTTCACTAAAAATTAATACATTGTGATTTATAAACCAGTGTGGGCATACTCTTGAAAGACGTGTCACCTTTTAGTACATTAATAAATTAAGTTTTGGGTGGTTGCTTTTTTTGAGTCATATGTGAGCATTTATTCCAATAATGCCGGCAGTATGGGAGAGCAGCGTGATCCATCCACATAAAATCTGCTCTTACCCTCCCCCCATAAGCCAGCTGCTTATATTGCGTAGGAGGACAAAGATTACACGGGGAAGTGGGCAAAAGGAATTAAGGGTGTGGGGAAGTGGGCAAAATAATAATATATAATGGTTCAATATGGGCTGGAGGTTTGCAAAAGAGCAGGGTGCCTCCACCACAGTGAGGACTCTGGAGAGTTAACTGGCTAGCTTTGTCTGGTGACCTCAAAGCCTCAGAAAGTCTTTCTTTGAAGCATTTACAGTACTTACTACTTTAAAAATGAGTCATATTAAAACAAACTAATTTCTTTTTTTGCGTATCATCAGCCTCCTGGGAGCTTAGAATGAAAGAGAAAATTGGGCTCTTTAATGACCTCAGCCTCCCCTAAAGGTGGGACTCTTACCTTAAACTTCCTGGTGGACGGCTCGCCAAGCACTGCCTCTACAATACCGTGAATTTAGATCACTGGGTCACTACGGGATAGTCCTTCTTAGAAACTCCTATATTGAGAATGGTAATACACTCTCTCCTCTGGTATTTGAGATATCATAGATTCTTTTTCAGGAAAAAGGCTGAAGACAAACCATTCACAGTTTGAATGCCTTACACATTTTAGGTTTTTAATGTTTGACGAAAGAATATATGAATCAATAAAACACTTAGCTGGTTCTAAAAAGTTTAACCATATCCCATTAACTTAGTAAGAATGAGTCATGGAACTCTTTAGCCTTAGAATCTTTTATCACTACAACATTAAAATCTTTAGTAATAGATTTGATATCCATGAACTTATCTTGAACAAAAATTAAGCTATGCTAAGTCCCCCTTTTTTCCCAAGAAAAGCTTATAGATCAAGATTTCCCCCCTCTTCTTTCTAGTCCACTGAAGTGGGAGGCGGGGATACGGAGCAAAGCGTGAGAAGCAGTAGAGTGTACTACAAAGAGCATGGCCACCGAAATCAGACCACCAGCAGTGGCGCACATCTGTTTCTCCTATTTATCATGTGTCTGATCTTGGGCCAGTAAGTAACTCTTTGAGTTTTAGTTTCTTCATTTTAGAAATGAAGACAATGCTTAATTGGCAAAGTTACTGTGAAGATTAATTAAGGAGTAGAAAGCATGTAACAGCAACTGGATAGAATTAGCTTGATAATCATAGCCATTACTTTTACATTTGGGCAACTTTTTATGACATTTAGCAAGAAAAAAAATGTTAATTTCTTATTTATTTTTTAAAATAAGACAGGCCAGGAGAGGATGCAGTAATAGTTAAGAAGTAAGGAGATTCACAATAGTCAAGATGCCCATCCAGGGATAAATGAATAAACAAAATATGATATATATCTATATATATAAACGGAATGTTATTCAGATTTAAAAAGAAATTCTGACACCTTCTATAACATGGATGAATCTTGAGGATATTTAATTTCATTATACTAAGTGAAATAAACCAGTCACAAAAAAGACAAATATTCCATTTAGGTGAGATACCTAAGTAGTCAAATTCATAAAAACAGAGGTAGAATAGTGGTTTGCCAGGGACAGGGGAAGCAGAAAAAAAGTTGTTTAATGGGTATAGAGTTTCATATTTGAAATGACAAAGTTCTGGAGATATGCTGCACAACAATGTGAATATACTATTGAACTGTAAACCTAAAAATGGGAAAGATGGTAAATTTTATGTTTTTTAAAAACATAGCTTTTAAAAAAGGAAAAAAATGAAAAAGGAAGGTCTGAAAATCTGAAGACAAAGGTTGTAGTGATATTAAGAAATGACCTATAATAGATTCTGTGTGTGATATTAAAAAAAAAACCCCATCTTTAATTTTGAAAAAAGAAAAAGTGACATTGTATCCCATCTGTCCAAATTCATCAAATAAACACTTGCTGTTTAAGTTCAAGGCACAGTGCTAAAAAACCAAGGACCAAGAAAAGCATAAGAATTCTTTCCCTCAAGGAAGGGGACTAGTAAACAAGTATAATATACGGTAAGCAGAATTAAAGACAGAGTACAGGGTACATAGTTCAGATTATGATAGTGGAGCAGAGAAAACTTTCTGGAAGGAGTGGCATCTGAATTGAAAAATCACATGGCTTCTGAAAAGCTTTCAGATCACAATCTAACTGGAGACTTATTAATAGTGATTATGGTAAGAAATAAAAGAAACAATTCTTTTTAAAGAGTAATTCATTTCTAGAAATAAAACGGGGAGGGGGGAATTAAGGATTTGGAGAAAGACTTCCTAAATTTCTTTATCACCATACTTTCCATTTCTTAAATTAGCTCTAAATTTTCCTGTTTCTATGCCTGTCTACACCATTACTCTAGCCTGGGTAATCAATCAGTATTCCACCGTATTAAAATACACAGATATAACAAATGGGGTTGACTGAATTAAATTACAAAATGCTTTCAGGTTAGTAACTAGAGTTGAAAAAATAAAATAGACATGCCCTGGATGGTGTGGCTCAGAAGCAGTGGTTAAAGTGTTAGCTGGCGCACCAAAGGGTCGTGGGTTCAATTCCTGGAATTCCTGGTCAAGGGCACATGCCTGGGTTGTAGGTTTGATCCCTGGCCCAGGTTGGGAAGGGTGTGGGAGGCAACCAATTGGTGTGTAATATTTCTCGCTCTCCCCTTCCTTTCTTCCACTCTCTCTAAAAATCAAAGGAAAAAATATTTCCAGGTGAGAATTAAAGAAAAACAACAACAAAAGATGTTTTTCTTCTAGCATCTTATAAGGAAACAAATTATGTCTATCAGTTAATTTAGTTTTAATGAAATTATCAGGGTATCCTGGATTTAAGATGCATGTTGGAGAAAGACCATTTTCACAAACCTATGTTGCACAAAGTCATATGTTAGAAGGTGTATCCAAACGAAACAAAAAGGTGGGGATGAGATTTGGGGTTTCAGGCCAACAATGGATTTACAAGTATTATCAAAGACTTGTTCTGTTCTCTCACATTTGCTAATAGCCTATGCTGTTTGGACTTTCAAATAACACTTTGAACAGATAGCATTCTTTATTCAAACCTGCCAGGATAATCATTGTGTGTGTCAGTGGTTCTTCACTAGGAGATGGGGGGTGTTTTCTACCCCAGGGAAAGACATTTTTAGTTATCACAACTGGGGAGGGGGTGCTACTGTCATCTAGTGGTGGAGGGCAGAGATTCTGCTAAATATCCCATGATGCAAAGTACTGTCCCCCCTCCCACCCTGAATGAAGAATTATCCAGCCAGTATGTTAGACTTCCCACCAAAAAAAATTTTTTTTTATCCTCACCAGAAGATGCTTACTGATTTGAGAAAGAGAGAGAGAAACATCAATGTGAGCGAGAAACATGGATGGGCTGCCTCCTGTATGAGCCCTGACTGGGGATCGAACCTGCAGCCTTTTGGTGTACTGGATGACTGTCCAACCAACTGAGCCACCAGGCCAGGGCCTTTCCACCAAATTTTTATTTGGCCAATGAAATAACAAACTTTTACTTTCTTTTTAAAAATCTTTTTAGGGAGAGAGAGAGAAACATCAATTTGTTGTTCCACTTATTTATGCATTCGTTGGTTGATTCTTGTGTGTGCCCTCACTGGGGATCCAACTCACAAGCAATCATGGCATATCGAAGCGACACTCTAACCAACTGAGCTACCTGGCCAGGGGGAAATAACAAACTTCCTACCAAATTTTATTGGTTAATAATAATATCAAATAAATGATATCTGATCACCATTACTGGGCATTTGAAGTACCTTCTAGGTTTCATAAATAATTTAATTTTTTAAAAAAGTAAGGTTTTTTGGCATTGTGTTATATTTAAACTCAAAATTTATATCGTTAGAAAATATATTCACCAATATAACAACTATACATTTATAAGTCACACGCTTTAAAACACCTTGAGAATTATGAAAGCTCCAAAATTTAAATGAGTCTATAATATTTATTTTGTAACAAAATAGATAAAACCACATCTAAAGTATACTATTGTTTTCACTTCATACATTTTGATTATTATGCTGAAATCTGTTAATTTAACTTTGAGTGAAAATAAATTTTACATTAGTTATTTAAAAAATGCCAAGCACATGATTGAGATAAACTTTTTGTTCATCAGAAAAAGAACTTTGGAAGTAAATAATGACATAGCAAATCCATTCAGAACACTAGATCTTCATCTTTTGTTTCTTAGACCAGTCAGGTGCTTCTTTTTTGGTCTGTTAAAAAAGAAAATAAAAAAGAAAATCAAGTAAAACGCTTACTAGGAGGATGAGAGAGGCAATTCAGAGAACTAAGTACCAATATGCATTGGGGCTTTTTATGTAAGATTACAGTAAATAATTGCTTTTCTTAATTCAGAAGGATACTTTAGGGGCAAAGGTTTTATGTTTTGTCAGAAATAATCTCTCACCTGGTATGTCTTAGAAAAAATACACATCTGTGTTTTCTGGCTCAAAGCCTGTATTTAACATATTTTACAGAAGCGAGTATCATATGAACTGTTTCTATTTTCAAAGAGAATTATAAAAAAAATCAAGGACACGGCTTCTTTTCTGTCAGTCTCATCTATCTATATATGGATATTCATTCACTCAGCAAATACTTATTAAAGAATGACTAGATCCAAATCACTGTGCTCTGGGTCTTCTGAATTGCTAGGTATTTACCAGAGCTCTTCTTGGGTTTACTGCTCAATCATTTCAGTGTGAAAAGAGCTTGACTCAGAACTCCTTACACAGGGCATACAGAAGCAGTCAAACATCCTATTTTTTATATGACCATAAATTAAATATGCAGCTTACTGCTTTCCCACTTCCACCTGTTTAAAATCATGAAGGAACACATTCCTAAATATATATACATATATGTGTGTAGGCACATGGAGAAGTATGATAGCTTATAATTTTATGTTTTTTATAGTTTTATATGCCATAGTTGATACATAAAATGGTGGAGGTGACATTGGTGGTCAGCTACTCTTGATCTTATCCACACCCTTGCCAGCTTCAATTACCATAAAATAAGCAGGTGACCTCCCCATCCCACTCCATGGCCACCTACACATCATAGCTCTAACTTGAGCTACAACTGCTTTTCATGGTGACCCTCCCAGGCAACTAAAATTCAGTATGTCAAAGCGAGCTCCCCCAATCATCCACGCTCTCCTTCTTGGTAAATGGTACCATACTTTGCTCAGTCGCCTCAACAAGAAATGTCCCATTCTTCTTTATCTTAGATTTCTCCTTTTCACTTGCTACATCCATTTTAAACAGTCCCTTCCTTTTACTGAATAGCTTTGAAACTCCTCATTCTGTTCCTATCTTGACCCCATTGGCTTACCTTGGGCTCTTATCATTTCTGGCTTGATTCCTGCCAGAGCCTCCTAACTCTGATCTGGCTCTCTCTCCGATTCTGTTCAATTCATAGTCCACAATCCTTCCAAGCTTATCTTTCTAAAATGCAAAACTGCATTAAAGCACTTTTAGATTTTTTTTTTTTTTTTCCAGAGCTCTTTCTTTAAAAGAAAAGTCCAAAGTCCTTAGTATTAAAGGAGATAGAAGTTTCCATGGTAGGGAAAGGCCAGGGCTGTCTACCGAGAGAATGCAAAGGTGGCTGAGGCTAACCAAATCAAAAGAAACCAAAGTACAAATTAGAATGCTAGTTTATTAACTGGTGATGAGAAATGTAATTGTCCTTTGGCCAGGAATGCCTGCTAGTTTTGCCAGTCTTATTTAAAAAAATTTTTAAAACAGTCACAGACCATAAAGAAAAGTCAGAGCAAAACTGGGGAATTGCTTGGTTCTCTTATAACCAGATCAAGAGATTTGGGTGACTGAAAAGAGGTGAGTCCGTTACAAATCTAAGGTTCTCCCAGTCCCAGTCCCAGAAGAATATGTACCCAATGTTTTTTAAATTGTAGGTCTCTTCAATTATATCTCAATAAAACTGGGAGGAAAAAACCCTGTAGGTTCTCAATCCATGGGTAAGGAATTCGATTTAAGACCAGATTTGGGG